CTGATGTATGTGTGCACTTTCCTTCTTGAAGATGCCCTTGTCTTGCACGCTTCTGCACAGGTTTGTGTTTGTCTGTATGTTTCTGTACCATGACTGGCAACAGCCGTTTGTGCAGCATTGTAGATACTACCCAACGCCTGCAAGGCTTGCTGCATCGCCCCGTGCCAGCGCTCTTGCGAGAAGCGGACGCGATTGTACAACCCTACTCTTCCCCTGCTGCTGTCGAAGTATTCGAAGGTAATGGGGGAGTACCAGGCCCTGTTTGGGTCAACCCTGCAAGTGCCCTTATGTAGCTGGCGAAGCTGTCGCACCTAATGCCTAACACCTGGAGGAAGTTTTCTCCTTCGTCTCGGACATTTTCATGGCTGATCAGCATGGGAATATGTATGACAATGATGGCATCCTTACGCCACTGCAGATGCTGCAGAACCGGCAGGCAAGATTTCAGTCGGCACAGAAGCTCCTTGCACCAGCAGCGGGTATGTTCAGACAGGAGGAGTTCTGGTACTTTGAAGGCGAGGCATTGGCCGACCTGGAGAGTGGCGGCTTCAAGCTCTCCCGCTCCAGCGGCTACGGCCGCTTTGTTTGCCTCCTGCCTCCTGGAGCTGCGGTACCAAGTCCCCAGATCGACGGCGTCCCGTTGGCATCTCCGTACGGCAACGTCCAGGGCGGGCAGGGGCAGGATGCTGTGCCCATGATGTGGGACTTCAGGCTCTCATCTCAGAGCTTGAAAGTGACGGGGCTAAACCAGAAGGTCCATTTACAGGTCACACCGTCTTATCAGCCTGTTCTTCCATGGTCAAGCAGCCAGCTCGAGCACAGTTGCACCACCACCGCCGCCGGCTACTTGAAGTGCACAGACCAGAGCCTAAAGATCAAGCTGCCACCGGGAGCGAGGGAGGTGGACGTGACCTTCTACATGCGCTTGACTTGCATGCACTCCCAAGATTGTTCCAACGCGCCAGAAGATGCAGGTATCCCTGTCTTCTATGAAGACAACTACCTCCCAAACCAACAGCTGCCTGCGTCGGGCAGCGCCATCTCGTGGGGCTCTCAAGAAAAGTGCGTCCTGGACGACCTGTATTGTCCACAAATGGAACTGGTAATCCAAGATACATGTGTGACTCCGAGGATGCCTACACCAAGGCCATCAAGTGCGCTGCCGACCCGATGCCAACGCCAGTTCGCGCAATGGTCTGGCATAAGTATCACTTGTCATGGCGGGGCCGTCGAATGATGCTCTACCTGGATGATAAGTTCCTGCGCACCCAGAGAGCGGATCACCTTGGGGAGGTCCTCATCGATGCCGCGAAGAATGAAGCCTCAATTTGGGGGGTGACGGTGTCATCGAAGTCACCTGTAATCCGGGTGATCAGCACCGACCACGATTACCATACAACAAGAGTTGGCAGGTACTTCAACTTCAATGCCGATGACCTCCGAATCCGGCACGGTGATCCATCTTTTGACGCTCGAGTCCAGCAGTGCCAATTCGACGACATTGGGGACCCACTCGAAGACTTCACGGAATTCAACGACCGCGAGCTGACGGTGAGGATTTTCGGTGATGCGCCGAACCATTTGGGAACTGCCCATGGCCGGCAAAAGACGCACGAAGCTGACCACCAGTTCCGCAAAGGGGACCTGCTCCTGATGGACCCTGCGTCGAAGTGCCCAGCCTGCAAGGACAACTTGGGAGTGCGTGCCTGGAACCTTCCATGTGGCCAACGCTCCCATGCCATCCATGTCAAGGACACCCAGCATGTGTCCGGCAAAGTGGACATGCACTTCTGGTTCGACATGGTCCCAGACCTCTTCGACACCAACGGCCAGTCCGAAATCGTACGCACCGTGCGGCAGTGCCGCTACGACGCATTGTCGGGCGGCCCTTCCAGCGGACCCTTCCACAACGCTCGAGTTGAGGTGCGGATCTGGACGGCGGTGCCACACGGACGCAGGGAGCATGGCTCAGCCGAGCACCAGTTCCTCGTGGATGATTTCCTTCTCAGCGACCCCGGCGTCATGTGCCCAAAGTGCAAGTGGATCTTGAACTCGCTCAGAGTCTTACATCTTCGGCACGATGGCTATGGTTTGAACCAGCAGGGCATCATCTTCAGCTTCGACTCTGGCATTCACATTCCTCACACGGGAACGGTGCGGGTGAGGCAGTGCCGCTACAAGGACACGGCGTCCGCGAAGCACAACTCCGAGAGGACGGTCCAGATTTGGAACAACCACGCAGCCCCGGGCCAGAGAGGCCCTGGGCACCGCCATGGGCGGAACTATTGGGGCGCTGGGGGTGGCGACTGGGAAGTGGGCGACATCCTTCTTCTGGACCACCATGTGCTGTGCCCCGAGACGGAGATGCAGCTGAACTGGGACGCCCCGTGTCCCACGAGCCTTACCTGAACAAGGCGGTACTCATGAGTCGGAGCTCTGCTTGAGAGCTTGCGACCTTTTTTTATCTTTCAACGCCGTAGCTCAGACCACCTGGTCATCCGGACGCTGTCAAAGCTTTGAAACCTACAGCCTCTCATTTGCGACTTGGAAGTAGGCCTATGCCTCTGCTAGACAGGGTCCAGACCTGTTCATTTACGCAGGCAGCTATGCTTTGCCACGCCCCGCACTTTGTTGCATCCCTGGTTTCTAACACCTCCAATCTGGAGCTAGTTCTGGAGGTTTTTCACAGGAATCTTGCAACTGTGCGTGGACACTGGAAGCAGCAAAATTTGTTGAGCTACTTTTCGAGCAGTTGTGAAGATCAGATGAGAGGCCAAGGGACGATCGTCAGCGACCACAGATCCACGTCTTTGCAGCACAGCCATCGCAGTAGCCTGACAGCTTTGACGTGAGAGCAAGCGTGTTGCACACACGGAGAGAAACACGCTTTTCCACCTTAGTCAGACGTCAATGACTTTGTCTTTACATCGGTAAGACTCTCATACTTCTGGCCCTACTATGACTCCTGTTAGAGATGGTGTTTGGAGTGGCGAATTTTACTCCGGGCTTCAGTCAATCTTTTCGTGGCTGCTTCAGGCCTACAGAGGTTGGTTCACCTAGGGATATGAAGGATGTCTGGCAAGAAGGGGCACTGATCGGATGCTACATTGAGGATCCCGGCAGGAGGTTTATTTTCAGGACCTTTGCGACAACCGCCGCTTCAGGTCAGGTGGGGCCTCTCCGAAGGCTTCAAGATGACTATCGCACCCTGTGAATTCTGTCTGAGCATCGAGGTAGCTCCGTCTCAAATCGGCGGGCCCTTCAGGCCATGGGCCCGAAGCCAGGCTGGATGTGCAGTCACGGTACCCTGAAAGCACACCGCTACCTGAAAGTCGAGCCGCGGCTCATCACTCAACCTCCAGTCACTTATGTTGCTCGATAGTGATGCCAGCCACCTAGACTGGAACCTTAGCCTTTCCGTGCATGCATAGGTAAGCTTGAGTGATGTGCACCCATGAGCTGGCACAGACACGGCCTCGTTTGGAGGTTAACCAGCTGGTGCTGCAGAACAGCTGCAAGGGTGCTGGCGATGCCTGGCAGGGGCCGAATAAGCACTGCAAGTGCTTGCACTGCCTGAACGGCGCCAAAGCACGAAGTCCGACAAACAAGTGCGAGAAGACCGCCAGTGGGTCCCTCCAGCGACGCCGCCGAGGCACCTCTAACGAACGGCTGGACACGGAGCCCTGTGTTATGCCTAAGCCGTAGCCACCGCCTCTTGAGGCACAGGCGAAGAGACAATAGCGAGCCCCATAATATGTGTTTCGCCCTCCAGGCACACCGATCACCTTTTGGCTTGGCTTCGGTTCCAGCCTTATACCAACATGCTAAAGTTTAGCTGGAGACTCAAGCTGAAGACCTATCAGATATCATTGATATCATGCCGTTCCACGATGCAGCCCGTGGCTTCTTCGAAGATTCAACAAACCTTGGCAAAGGGTTCGTCTACTGCGGCTCGCTGGATAAAGGGTCAGAGCTCCATGGCTGGTGCCACAGCACGCGATGCATGTCGAAGCGTAGCTTCGAACCATTGTCCGACCAAGGTCTGTTGTTTAGCCGCGTTAGAGACAGCTTACACCGCGAGATCAAACTTGAAAAGTATTTGTTCGTTTTGGGTTACGGTCGTGCGCTCAACAAATCAACGCCAGTGAGACCAGACTCTGGAATTTTGTTCCGGGTCCAGCATCTGGAAGCTTGTCCCAATCGATGATTCCTGGAAGAAGCTGTTTCTGAAGATCACGCTTGGGATTGCTTGGGTTTGGTGTTTGTGGGTTCAAACGGGGGGCCCAAAAGCTTGCGTTCATACATGTTTCCGCGATCTTCCAGCTCCACATCTCTTATAGTACTAGCCAGAGAGCCCAATACCCCTTAATTAAGGAATATGCCTTAAATCCTAATTCTCTGGGTAGCCCTGTTGGTTTTTGGCTGTTGCGAGTTCAGCGCCGTTTCGAGTTTTCAGCCTCCAGGGCTGTCCTGGTTTCCAGACCAGGTTCCGATCGTTCAACATGGGACCGTTTACACTGGCGTGTTGCAGCGTTGCAGAAGTGCATATGCAAGTTGGCAGCAGGGAGGCCGATGTTCCGTAGCCGTTCAGGCAAAAGCTTTGCAGCTGTGCAGTTCAGAAATGCTAATGCAATTCCCTCCACTTCGCTTGCTAACCGTTTGGTTACAGAGGTCATAAAGAAAGTGGCGACAAGGAATGAGTGATGCCTTGTACTGCTAGAGGGTTTTCAACAAGGTTCTTAAACATCAACCAAAATATTGTACTTGTCAGCGGGCATGGCAGTGGAAAGCAGCCCCTTCGTGGGACATGAAGCTAGGCAATACGTCGATGCGTGGTCGAAGTATGAGTGCAGCCGCAGCAGATCTTCATCAGTCAACATGTTGCTGGTGTTCAGCTGTCTTGTTACTGTTGGCTTGCCAGCTAGACAACCATTGGTAGCCTAGGCCTAGCCATAGCACTTCGGCTGCGGCGCGCAGCAAGCAGTACACCATGTCAAGCCATGGGATGGAAGCAGGTTGTGCTTGGCGCCGGGCTCGCCCGAGGCGGACGAACTTGGGGTATGCAAGTGCTGCTTCTGACACTCTTCGAAGGCTTTGGATCTCCCAGAACTCCGTTGTTCGACTATGACTGTGCTTCTGTGCAGAAGAGGCCCCGGATCTCTTCGACTGGCGCAGTTGTTGAAGCGAACGCCTAAAGTTGTCACAAAGGTCATCCGGCATTGACTGGCAGCAGATTCATGACGAGGCTTCGTACGGATTCGCCTTCTCAAGGTGTGCTTGTGTACACTAAATGTTGCTGCATCATGTCAAACTGCAACACTGCAGTTTTAAAGGCAAAAGACCGTCCGCCATAGACCCGAATGCATGGTTTTTTCCTGAACGGCGCCTCCATCAGCGCTTTGAGCTGCAGGTGACTTTCGCTGTGGAGGAGTCTCAGAAAGGCCGTGCGGGTTTCAGGATATGTGCACTCGGGGTTTATGGTCGTGAAGGGCGCCGTGTCATATGGCAGTGAGCAGTGCGACGAACGATGATCCAGAAACTGTTCTGTCTTTTGCAGGCACCCCGCTCGAACAGTGTGATTTTTACAGAACGTGCTTTGTGGATACTGTTCTCACTTCAAGCTTCTGGTGCTTCTGGAGCCATGGAGGCATTGCGACGTTGCGTCCACCGTCAAGGCCGGCTCGCTTGTCGAAGCCTGCAAACGGTGCACGGATCTCGCCAGGAAAACAGCCTTGGCAGCTTTAGGCAGCCACACAGATATTCTTCTCCAAGCGTTTTCTGGTTGTTGCCCTGGCAGTTTTGGATCACAGCATCGTGTGAGCTCTGGCAGGCGGTAGGGTTGCTGCGCGCCATGCCGATTGAAAAGTCGCCGGCTCGAAACGGAGACCTTCCTGTTCTACTTGATGGTGAAGAGATACGGTTTTCGGAGCCCAAGACCAGGCTGTGCGGGGAATCACGCCCACAAGTCCAAATAACTTTGACAGATCCTATTCCGTGCCTGCATTGTAAAATCGTGGGCCTGCACAAGTTCGTAGCATCGCAAAGAAGCCCCCAGGCCCTTTGAGTGTCAGGCTGTATACCCGGCAGCATCTCGAGGGCGAGGGTGTGCTGCACTTGACCACGAAGCGCCTGGTTTGGCTCGGCGGGCCGGGCTGTGCGATCGATTACCCTTTCATCACCATGTGCCTTGCCGCAGTTGCAGCCGGATTTCTGAACCCAGTCTTGAACTAAAACCCGTTCTGTCTCAGGCATGCCGTCTCTCGCGACAAGAATGCTTGGCCGGATCCGTGCTTGTACTGCCAGCTTCGCGAAGAGGAGGCAGAGGAGGAAGAGGTGGGGCGTTGTTGACAGGGGAACGTGCATTTTTTGGCTCGCTGTTTTGAATGAAGATGATGTTGTCTTTTCGCTCAGTGCCTGGCTCTGAAGTTTTTGTCTCACTTTGCTGGGATTCTCAGCCTTCGGTTATCGATTTTTGCGTTGTCTTATCGCGGGCCCTGCACGAGGAGGATGCAAACATCCCAGAACTGAGATTCGTCCCTGCCGAGCCAGCTCACTTGCAGGAGCAGCTTGTCGGATTTGCGATCCTCTCTTGTTCTTCGGACCTGTCGGTTGGACAGGGAGTGGTGTCGTCGAGAAAAGTTTGGGGCATGTTTCGTGCTCTCAAACATCTAGGGCACTGTGTTGTGTGGGTACGGTCACCGGCATCGTTCATCACACTTGGAGAGCTTCCCCAAGAACTGAGGATGTTCCACGTGTTCTCGGAAATGTCTGCGCTGAATCCTGACCCCTACGACGAGCAAGGGGACGACAGTGGATCGGAACCGGATTTGGACGAGATGCTGGGCGGCCAGTGTCAGCCCCAGAACGAACTTGGTGTCATGTGGAATGCAGAAGCCAACGATGCAGCCATGGAAGATGCGGAGGAAGACGACAACGATGAGCGCATGTAGGATTAAGGGGCGGTGAGGAAACAGCCTGCCTCGTGGAAGATTGCCGTGTCCCTTTGCGGGCCCTTGCAGCTGGCCCGGGGACACGGCAGGGCAGGCCTTTAGGTGCCTGGCCTAGAAGAGCGGGAGTCTGCTCTCTTTCATGTTTCACGTGTTTTGTAAAAACGGGAAAGTTCCCAAATTGGGGTTGTCGCAGGCGATCTGCGAAAGATGTGGGGAGGGTTTGATGCAGTGCTGCTGCAAGCGTGCCCTCGTCTGAGAGTCGCTTGGCTTTCAGGTCTGGGCGCATAGTGCTGCATCAGGCCGAGCAGGCTTCGAAGGAGAGCGTTTGCAGTCCGAAGCCCACCGTGTCATTGCATGCTGCTTGCCACTTGCAAAGTATGTTACGACATGTAAGCAGATTTCTGTGAGGTGCGATTGGAATCTGCTAACCGATTTTTGGCTCAATTCTGCCAATGTTGCTTCCACCTTCGCCTAGGGCTGGAGCTTTGCAAGCAAAAGGCACCTTTGTCTTTTGGCTGTGGCTTGCACTGGTAGACATGCCTAGCCTCACATAGATGTGAACGGCAAAAGAGATAATTTACTGGTGTGGAAATGTTTGGCGCAATGAGAAGCTGTCGCAGTAGCAATTCAGACTCGTAGAAGAGCAGGTTCTGGAGCAATACTCACACACGTAGTGTCAAAGCAACAACAACTCCTGCTAGTCTAGACTTTACTTCTGCGACCACCACCACCATGACCGCAACGCGACGACGACGACGACCGCTACGACGCCCATCCTATTGCTCCAACTGCTACTGTTCGTGCTTGCTGCTACCGCCACCGCGAAGTGCTACCGCGAAGTGCTACTGCTACGGCTGCTATGGCTCTTGGCTGCTGCTCTTGCCACTGCTATTGTTAGTGCCACTGCTACTGCTGCTAGCTTCTGCTTGAGGTACTCTTGCTATGCTGAACAAGAACATGTAATAACAATCATCATGAGAATATCAAAAGTAGTATTTCTCATAGCTACGATAGCAAATTAGCATTGGTAATACTCATAGTAACTCATAGTACCACTAGACGCACTATGCAGCAACAAGCGTGTTTGCAACCGTTGGCATGCGTGTCGGGCAGATCGGCTTGCGGCAGGTCCAGTCCAACTTTTGCCACGCCATTTTCCAGAGGAGGATGACCAGCTGCTGTGGCTGAAGAATCGGAGAGAAGTAGGGGTCGTGACGATATCATGCAGGATCCCGAAAATTCTGAATTGGTCAGAAGTTGGTCTGGATGCTGGTCTGACCTAGATGGCGACGACCTCCCAGCTGTGTTCGTCCATCTTGAAGTAGGGTAGCTCTTGTTGTAACAAGTACAAGCACGATTCAAGTTGATGTGCTTGAAACCCCCTGAATACTACTTGTACCCGCCACTTCAAGATGAGTCTGTGCGTGGCACGTTTTTTGGGTCGCTCGGGTGCATCAAGTGCAAGCCAACACCCAGTCCCATGGCCATCTTGGGAATGTTACTGAAGGTTACTGAACCCTGAAACATCACTGCCACTACAAAGCCAGAAGCCTTCCCCCTCAGGCCACCCGAGCTGGATCCTCGCCTGCGTGACATGGATAACCCTTAGTGCTGCCACACCGCTCACTGCAGAGACGCTTGGCATGGAAGAAGACTCGAGCGTTCCTTGAGCCATCTGGCTTCGATACTGTCCTGTATATGCAGCCAAGGAATGCACCGTGGAACATCAATATCGAAACACAGCCGGCGCGCTCAGAATCCGTCGCGACTAAGCTGATCTTGCTCGCGGAGATTGTGGCAACCTGAGGCACGAGCCGGACAAGTACAAAGGCAAGTGGCAGAATCATGTATACTTTCCATCTCCCAAGGACCCCGGTTCACTTCTAGGGCAGCCGTTTTGTCTGTTGTCGGGTCTCTGCCGTGCCAGGACTGGCGATCTTTGTCCATTTACCAGCTCCTCACCGATAGATTTGCTGACGGTGATCCTCGAAACAACGAGCTCTTCGAAGGGGGCTTCGATGTACGAGACATGACATTCAGGTCGCCGCCTTGGTCTAATTCTTGCCCCAGGGGCTGTTGGGGTTTCGGGGCCGACCCGGACAGCCGCCAGGCATGGAGGCGACTTCGTCGGCCTGACCAATAAGCTCCCGTACATCAAGGGCCTGGGTTGCCAGGAGCGTCCATCTCCATGGAGACTGTCGTTCTTATCCTTTCTGGCTTTCTGGGTCCCTTCTGTTCGGCACCTGTAAACTGTGTAGAATGTACGTGCTCTGGCAAGGCTTCCGCGTGAACCTCTGATGCCTGCCGGTGTCGAGGGTACGTCTAGACAGTACTCCTACAACATCAATGGCTTGGTCGTGACGATGTCATGCGTGTGTGTTTTTGCAGCGACTGCTTTTGCAGACCATTCTCTTCAATCGTCTATGATGTCTCAAATGCTGTGTGGTGCAGGTTGTGTCGGATGTGGGAGGTGCTGCCCATTTAGTCTGGTTCGGGAAGAAGCTTTCGTCGTCCAACAGCGAATCAGCATAAGCTGGACTGCTGGAATTCGGTATCCGAGGCTTGCTCCACAGTGTTAGGCCCTTTGCCACTGTCGTTGCAAGTTGCAGGCTACGTCGCAAAGTGGAGGACAATACACCATATACACCGAAAAATTCGACACTGCTTCTGCCGAAAACCAAACCTTGAATATCACCATAAAGTAAGTACAGTATATCTATGATATAGCCAGTATTTTGTAACAGCCAGTTGAGATCGAATCTGCCTCTGAAGTTTTCCACTACGTCATATATATATATATGTATATGTGTGTGTGTCTATCTCAACCATGGAGCAGCGCGTGTTTGTGCAGGAATATAGGTATATGCGAGTAGAGGCTCGAAGGAACCTTTGCACTCAAAATTCCACGGTGTGTCCCTTTTCCGTACGACGCTTCCTTGCTTCGAGTCATCCTTGAACTGCAGGGCGTGTGGATCTCACCCATCTTCCAGAATGGCTTCAACTTCTACCACCAGAGTCCCGCCAGCAGGGAGGTAAGTGAACTGGTAGTCGAACCAGTCTGATCGTCCGGTGGTTTTCAGTGGAAGCAAGCCCCGAGTATCTCAGCCGTCCGCAAGAACTCAAAACCAAAGATGTCACATCGCTTAGGTACGCGCAGATCGATTTCACTCTACTGGATCAACGAATGGGGACGCTGCAAGAGCTCCGCAATCTCGTCACCACCGCGCATGACCTGGGAATGTATGTCATTATTGATGTTCAGGGCCCAGAATTTGAATGTTGATGACAGGATGGACTTTTCATTCGTCTTTGTAGCATGCCCCTGCAGAAGTGCGCCCCTCATGCGGCTGTCTTGACAGAAGCGAAGTGACGAGGTCGTTATGAACCACATGGCGAATGAGTTCTTCTTCGACGGTCATGAATATACTCAGGCGCCCTTTAGGTTTCATGAGGAAGGAGGTTTGCGCGAATATCTTCTGCGAGCACGGAAGGAACCTTGGCTCAGTTTTGTGACTCCCTTTGGGCAGGCGGACCAATGCTGTTGTTAGTCCATGTGCGTTTGGCGCAAGGATGAGAGCTTGATGCACGACACGCCTGCCGGCAAGCAGCCTTATCGGGACTTCTATTATGACAACACGTGGGTCCCAAGCGCGAAATACAGTGGCAAAGTGTATGGTCAGTATGGTGAATATCGTACCGACGACGGGAATGGCACCTATGATTTGTCGGACTTCCATCACAATGGAGACTTGGTTGATTACTTTGACCCATGGGAAATCAACATGGGCAAGATCTATGGCACCATGGACGACCTTAGACTGGAACACGAGCGTGTGCAGCAAAAGTACATTGCCATGACAAGGGCGCTTATTGAGAGCTGTGACATTGATGGCTTTCGTGTCGATTCCCAGATGCAGGTTAGAAGAGAGGTCTTGTGGGTCGTTGAATCATGTCCTGTCAGCCAGTTTGGGTAGCCAAAAATGTACATCTGTAAGGACACGCCCATGCAAGTTCCGCTGAATTTCTTCAAAGTCTGGGCACCTGCGATGCGACAACATGCTGCCTCGCTCGGCAAAGAGCGCTTCGGGATCTTCGGCGAGTTCTATGTGACGCCTTCGCGTTATGCCACAATGACTGGGAGAGGTCGAGACTTTACGATGTCAGCTGCCTAGTCTACCGTTGTGTGGCCCTGTTTCTGCATGAAGCGGAGTGTGTCTTTGCATGTGAGACCGGTTGCAGTTGTTGCAGCGCAAGGTACGGACAGGATGTTTTCATAGACGGTGCGGCCACATTGAAAGGTGGCATCGTCTATCCTTACTATTGGTACATATTTACAGCCATGGTCTACAAGGACCCGCAGTATGCTGATGGTCTGGTTATGGCCTACACCGAAGAAAACAAAATGATCGACACTTTCGATCCAACCACGAACAGATCTGAGTACGCCATGATGACCTTCTGCAATAACCACGACAACTGGCGCATGCAGAGCATGACGGGCAAGGCTGAAATGAGGATGTGCCTGGCAGTGATCACCTTCTGGCAGCGTGCTGAGTGGTTTTCATTGCCTTCGACTTTTCTGTGTCTTTTTCTCGCTTTGGGTGTTCCTCGCCTGAGGCCAGGGATCCCACTTCACTATGCCGGCGACGAGCAGGACTTTGATACCCCGGGCAGCGCGTTGGATGGATGGGCCCGCGAGGCGGGTTTTGCTCGTGAAGGTCAGTGCACCTCAAGTCGCAAAGTAGAAAAAACGGCAGCAGCTACCTCAGTCTGATAAAGACAGGTCAGATCCAGTATCCGTAAGGATCGAACTGTTTCCGACACCACGCCCTGAACCCTTGCAACGGAATCCATCAGCATCGTTAGATCTCACAAGAACACTAAACCCTAAACCCTAAACTCCTCATCAACTTCCGACTGGTTTCCTTCTTTCTTCAGGAGCTAAGTGCTTCGCTTGCCTGGCAAGCGATCCCCACCCGCCCGGACGGGAACCCCGCAGACCGCGACAACTTCGACATGACCAGCGAGACATATCGTGGCTTGCGGCTAAAGAAAATTACTTTTGAAAGCTTTCAGGCTTGTGTGTGTGTGAAGGTCTTGTTGTTTCGGGGTCTGAGACAGGCGGTTTCCGTGCAGAGATGCCCAGCTTTCTGTGCTTTCAATTGCAGCAGTGAACTTGCTTGCGTCGGTGATCACTGTACGTTCTGGAACATAAGGCAGCAGTCTGTCTAAGTAGTGGCCCCCAGTTCTGCTCTGCCATCTGTCGCCGCAAGTGCAGATCCACCAGCATTGTTTGAGTTAAGCTGCAAGGTTACATTGCTCGGCTGAATGCACTTCGTCGTTGGTACTTCGCTGACTTCGGAAGGGCGGAGTGCGACGTCGTCACTGCCCCCAGCCCACAGATCCCCGGAATCGTGGTGTTCGAGCGCGGATGTGACAGTCTGAAGAAGGTCATGGTGGTTGCCAGCTTTGAAACCGTTGACAACAAAACCGTCAGAATTCCAGTGTCCTGGGTGAGCGGAACACAGCTTAGCGACAGTTTGGAGGTCCGGAACCCATTGATGCTCACGGTCAGCCCAACCCGTGACGTTTCCATCAAGCTGCAGCCCCTCGCCGCTTATGTCCTGGTTCCCCTACCCGTGGCAACTGTGCCGCCTTCGGTCGTCTCTGTGACCCCTGCTCATGGTTCAGTTGCAGAGTGGTCGGCGGAGGCCGGGGATGTAGTGAATGTGACAATCCGCTTCGACCGGGCTATGCAGCCATCAGTTCTGTCTGCAGCCCTTTTTGATGGACAGCCAGCTGCTTTCCGGTGCGCGACCCCCGCGTGCCAGGAGATCACACTGGAGCTTGATGCAGCCTCGGTCAGCAATCAAGTACACCACGTGTCCATCATCGAGACGGCAACATCGCAGGATGGTGTCCCTCTCTTCGCCAGCTTCCGTTCTTCCTTCGTTGTGGATCGGGGCCTTGGGGTCCTCAGCCGCCCGTGGCTGCACAGCATGCCGGGCCTCATCTGCGCCAACTGGACACGGATCTGCCACAACGCCACCGGGGTGTCCTGGCTCCGCATCAAGAACGTCGGCCCCGGGGGCACTTGGTCCGCCTGGAAAGCGGCCGAGCCTGTCACGGCCTGGCAGAGCGCTCCCGGAATCCCGGTCCTGGTGCAGTACCACGCCGAGGGGAGTGCCAGCTTCATCGTCGGTGACTGCACGGACATGGAGGGTCCTTGCTTTTCCAGCTGGCACGAGTCTATGTTCCTGCGTGGTCAGTTCAACAGGTGGGGTGAGGCAGGCGAGGGGACAATGGTGAAGCTGGATCATTTTACTTGGGCTGCCAACATCACTCTTGACCGGTTCTTGAAGGGCAAGTTTGCACCTTTCCGAGATTGGACGGTCTCCTATGGGCTCCATCCCGCCAGAGAGCTTCTTTACAACATGCCCTCCTTCGACCCACGCTTCTACACCTTCCATGTGGATCCCCACATGTCGGGATCCGAGGCCGGTTTTGGGGGGAGAGTACCCTTTAAGGCCTAGAACGACGCTTTAAGAGTGCCCTTTAAGAGTACCCCTTAGAGAGTTTAGGGTTAAGAGTACCCCTCTCTTAACCCTAAATCCTAAACCCTGCGCCTAAACCGTAAACTCTCTGTGGGGAATTTAGGCCCTTTGACTGCAGTTGGAAATAAAGTAGAGCCCGCCACAGAAGAAAAAGAACCCTAACCCAGGAGTTGGAAAAGAGAGCCCACCGAAGAACAAATAAACCCTAAGCCCCGAAACCCCTAAAACCCCAAACCCCTAAGCCCCTAAAGCCCCTAAACCCCTAAAACCCTAAACCCCTCAAGCCCCTAAACCCCTAAGCGCCTAAAACCCCTAAACCCCCCAAAACCCCTAAACCCCTAAAGCCCCTAAAAACCCAAGAGACGAGGCCAGCCGACGCTGGATGGAAGAGCGGGGCCACTGGTCGGGGAACCAGGGCATGGCC